GGCTGGTGTGCAGCTAGCTCACTCTGGGCTGGTGTGTAGCTAGCTCACCCTGGGCTGGTGTGTAGCTAGCTCACCCTGGGCTGGTGTGTAGCTAGTTCACTCTGGGCTGGTATGTAGCTAGTTCACCCTGGGCTAGTGTGTAGCTAGTTCACTCTGGGCTGACACAAGAACACCAGCGACTAGTGGCTACAGAGCTGGACGAATCCAAGGTCGGTGGGCTAGATGCCCGGTCACTGATGGTTCCTGGAATCCGTAGGCAACATGGCTTGACAGACCCTTGGCTCACGTTCAAAGAACCGAAGGTCGAAACGGTAGATGCAGGATTCAGACTCGGCAAAAAGCAAGCGAGCGCTCCCACAGTGTCCACTTACATAGGGAGCAGGTCCCACCCCCTGAGGAGACTTCTTTTGATTGTGCCAGGGCTAGGAGTTGAGTAAGGGCCTGTGCTCACCTTCACTCTCTCACAACTGCTTGACTGCTCAGTGCAGATCCCCTCAGGGAGTTGATTACATTGTATTCGGTCACATCATAGGGGAATTTCAGGTCCGAATTGCCAAACCAGGAACCCTGGTGGTATAGTGAGAAACACACGGGGTGGCTAACCACAAGGTTATGCTAATAATGATGTGTTACAAAGTCGCCCCGTTTGTTATTAGGAACCATCGTAGGCAACTGGGATTTTTAATACAGGAGCCCTGGTGGTGTCGTGGTAACACATGGGCTGCTAACCACAGGGTCAGCAGTTCAAAACCACCAGCTGCTTCATGGCTGAGGCTAGCTACTCCCACCAGCCACTCCAGTGGGAAAAGATAAGACTTTCAACTCCTGTAAAGACTTGGTCTTAGGCAGTTCTACCTTGTCCTACACGGCCCCTCTGAGCTGAAATTGATTTGATGGTGGTGAGTCTTGCTTTTAGGTTACTGGGGTTGTTTGGTAACTTGGGGTTATAGGTAAGCTGGACATCCATCACCGGGGGACTGCCGGGACTGCCCACTCTCAGGCTGTTCTTGAGTCACGAAAGGTGCTGTCTCAGTTTTTACTAAGCACTTAAGGATCATTCTTTAAGGGCTCAGGTAGAAAGCAAATGTTTTGAGAATGATTATGGCAACAAATGTACAAATGTGCTTTACACAATAGATGTATATGTTTGGATTGTGATGAGTTGTACGCACCCCCAATAAAATGATTTTTTTAAAAAGGGATCGTTCTTGTGATTATTTTATGGTATTTACTCTAAACCAGTGGTTCCCAACCTTCCTAATGCGGTGACCCTTTAATACATATGGTTTCTCATGTTGTGGTGACCCCCCAACCGTAAAATTATTTTCATTGCTACTTCATAACTGTATTTTGGCTACTGTTATGAATCAGGCCACCCCTGTGAAAGGGTCTTTCAACACCCCCCAAAGGGGTCGTGACCCACAGATTGAGAACCACTGCTCCAAGCCCTTTCTTTTTGCACACCCCCCACCACCAAAAAAAAAAACATTAGCTAAGTCAAATTAGAGGTTTACTGCTATTGCATTTTGGGATATTGTGGGGTTTAGTTCTTCTCTGGAATCTCAGTCATGTGACCACATCCCAGGAAAACGCTGCATCATCTCAACCTGCAGCCCACTGAGCTGTGCCCCTCGTGGTCCTGATAACACCTGTGGTCTCCATTCTCAGGTGATTCCTCTCATCCGTCAAGCCTGTGACCTTCTCCTGATGCATCTAAAATGCTACGCCGACTCTGGGACAGCTTTCGACATCCAGAGGTGAGGGTGCCCCACACAGGAGAGTTGAGAATGATGGGGTTCGAGAGCTGCCCTTGGACTGGGCATCACTGGGAGCCAGCAAGCTGCAGACTCAGAAGAAGCCAAGAAAGCATGGATGGATGATGGATGGATGGATGGATGGATGGATGGATGGATGGATGGATGGATGGATGGATGG